GTCTTATTTCATTTTGATCATACGTTGAGGTTTGGTAATGGATGGCAGCTATATTCTTCAAAGCTGCATCACACCGTGGGAGTCTTAAAACAAGGTTTAGATAAGTGGTGATATCTCGGTCTAACTCGTGACAGAACTTTGCTGCCAAAGCAACTGGCTGTAGTTCAGCTAGATATTTGTATTTATCTAGTAATTTGGCTTATGAGCAGAATAATTTTACCGCGCACACGCACAAGCGCACACATTTATAAACATCTATCTATCTACATCTATATATATGTGTGTGTACATAAAGACTGATTTGAAAATAAATTAAAAAATATGTATATATGTGTGGGTACATGTGGATGTGTAAGCTGCCCGCTACTTACTTTCCCCCAAGTACTCTGTGCTGTTGGTCACCGTGTCGCTGTTCCCCGTCAGATCGAAAGACCTCAGGGACGCCGTTACATTCCCTACATCACAGCCTGTAAGATTGTGGCTGTACTGATACTGGTTAAGGATTTCGGTGAAAGTGGCGCTGTATTCCGTCCATGGCGTCGATATGGTGAGGACAGAGCCGGCATAGCAATCTCCGTCCTTATTTGCTGGGCCTCTCCAGGAAATATTCAGCGTGCTGCCGTTCGAGTCTACGCTGACAGAGGCTGGCGTGTAAGCATCTGAAATGAAATCATTTTAACTTATAAAGTCGCCTAATATGATGTAGTATATATAAGCAATAAGTTGCAGAGAAGTCAGGCACGTTTTCCATTTTGTGTGAAGCTTCCTCAATGTTTTGCATGTAATAAAAATCATGCCAGCAAATTAAGTACTTTAATGGTTTTCTATTGACTGTTTCATGTGAAATAATATAAAAAAATACTTCTTTTCTCAACATTTTATATTTACAAACTTTGATGATATCATGTTATGTTCCGACATCTTGAAACGATGTAGCAAAGTGTTAGGGGTTTCGGGAGTACAAAAAAACGTTATAGTAGTTCATGGTTTTCTAAGGACTTTTAATGTGAGATGAAAAATAAGTTTTGGTCAAAACTCAAAATGCTTGTGTGTTGTTGCGAACATGAACAAAGCTCAATATGTCCAATTGTTTGAGGTTTTGAGAAGCTATACGCTGGTATATATGGTATTACCTGTTCGTATTTTTAATTCACGAGAGCTGTAGCCATTTCCTCTTATAACAACTCCCACGTCATAGCATACACCAAAACTTGGGCAGCGTTCGTTACTTTCAAAACTACAAACGTCGCTGCTGCATGGTATTTTCAGGCCAGTACAATATTTAGAAGTAGGCCTTTCACCACTGCCTCTGAAATCGACAGTGAAATCTCTGACGTTGCTCCATGGACCCTCTCGCTTCCAAGTGACTCGAATGTACAGCTTATTTATTATCGTCACACTGATCTTTGGTGGATCTGAATAAAGAAACGAAAATAACAAATATACAGTCGCGTGTAGATACATAAAATTGTATGCGTGCATATATAAGCATACACATAGATACACTATATATAGATACATAGATATAATGTATGTGTTCAATCGAAGACAAAAATATGCTATCCGCTGACATCCTCTGTCTACAAAGAGCTCCTTTTCCACGTAGCGAGTCATGGTTCAGGTAAGGCCTAGAAAAATATTTTTTTATCTTGGGTGCAGGTAGGGTTAGAGAACGGTTATGTTAAGTGCTGATTTCTTATACACACACACACACACACACACACACACACACACACACACACACACACACACATATATATATATATATATATATATATATATATATATATATATATATATTATATATATATATATATACATATATACGTATATATATATACATATATACATATACATATGTATAATATATATATTATATATATACATATACATATATACATATATATATATATATGTATATATATATATATATATATATATATATATATATATATATATATATATATATATCAACAAAAATAACAACTGAGGGAAGAAGCAGCTTCTTACGCATATGTCACGGATTCACCTAATGAATATTAGATAAACACAAATATCTACCTAACAACAGTCAATTGTCAAAGCAGTAAAAATCTCTCGGCGACCAACAGTCACCCCATTCTTTTTACTGCCCCTCCCCCCTTACCCCTACTAGCACTATGATTCAGCGCAGAAAGGAGGCTGACGATACCAGCGGATAGGTCAATATTTTTGTCTCCGACACACACACACACACATATGTACATATATACTGCGTGTATATCTATACACACACATACCAGTATATATATATATATATATATATATATATATATATATATATATATATATATATATATATATATATATATACATATATATATATACATGTATATATATATATACTGCGTGTATATCTATACACACACATACCAGTATATATATATATATATATATATATATATATATATATATATATATATATATATATATGTACATATATGTATATATATATACATACATATATATATATAATATATATATATATATATATATATATATATATATATATATATATACATATATATACATACATATATATATATATATATATATATATATATATATATATATATATATATATACATATATATATAAACATATGTGTGCGAGAGAGAGAACACAAACAAATAAAATATATCTAAATATATATATCAAATCATTTAATTTGAAAATACTAAAAACTTGGCTATACGAGCTCAGTGGAAACTTACCTACTGAAAGTTCAGCGGTAGATAAAAGGGCTTCCTGGAATGATATAAGAAAGCATTAAGAATATATCTATATCTATCTATCTATATATCTATATATCTATATATATGTGTGTGTGTGTGTGTGTGTGTGTGTGGGTGTGTTTGTATATATATATATATATATATATATATATATATATATATATATATATATATATATATATATATATTTTTTTTTTTTTTTTTTTTTTTTTTTTTTTTTTTTTTTTTTTTTTTACATATATACATATGTATATAAGCATATGTGTGTATATATATGTATATATATAAATACAAAGGAAAATACGTACAATATATTCATATTATATATATATGCATATGTACACGTATATATACATACATATATATATATATATATATATATATATATATATATATATATATATATATATATATATATATGAAAAGGAAAACAACCGCAATAATAAATTAAATTCAGTTCCTCATCAGATGGACAAATAACCGAAATGGATCACTCTCGGTTATTGTTGAGGAACACTTAAAGAGTTCGAAGCATTTCGATCTGATTTAATTTCTTATTATGGATGTTTTCCTTTTCCTATTTGTGTACACATTTCTGTTAGTGTGTATACACACGAACAAACACACACATAGATATTGTATATATATATGTGTGTGTGTGTGTGTGTGTGTGTGTGTGTGTGTGTGTGTGTAGAGAGAGAGAGAGAGAGAGAGAAACAGAGACATATATACACATACACATGAGTACGTAACGACGTTCGTCAGTTTGTGGCACATGCATATTTTGTATTTCGTAATAGGCTAACATACTGTTTCTCAGGTTTACAACATGGTGGCTGAATGCTAATGTGTGTGATTCCACTAGCTGGTTTCATTAAGGTATTAGATTTAAAGAAAAAGCTGAGCAAGCTAATGCCGGCAGTTATATTGGGTTTCCCGCAGAGATAAGGTCTGGCTCCTGTTCCAAACGTTATGATTAATTGCCGTGTATTACGTCAGCGGGTTTGAAACCAAAAGGAGCCTGATTTTGCTATTTGATATTTTGTCATATAACTGCAACATTAATCTGAAATAACCATGGCAACAAAACAGAAGTAAGAATAAATATTGAACCTGCCTTATCTGTATTTCTAAATTTATGTCGACTTAGCGCAATCGCCCTTGTTGATATGCATTTTATAAGAACTAAATTAATATCGTTGAAAAGGAGCACCCTTTCCTTTAAAATATGGTGAATAAGTAAATCATTATATTTTATAAAATCACACGTTTATCAGGCATAACCATAGCATTTACTCACTCTATAAAGTACACATACTTAGTTATGAATAAGCACATTCATATCATATGACAATAACCGAATTCATGAACAGAGTTGAGATACGTATGTGAATATTTTTTTCTCGAAAATATTTGTTTCGTCTGTCAATTTGTTTTAAATCAAAGCACATTAGTATTCTGAAGCTAATAAAAGATTAAAAATTCTCCTTGTACGTGTTTCAATAGGCGTCTTTGCCGTGTATATACCCTGAACAGCGCTGCCTGGCGTGTTCAACTGCGCAAAACGTATCTGTGAGAACATAATATTTTGGTCGTGGTCGTAGTCAAGAGAGTTTCAGAGAGCACAACAGTATCCCATGAACTTCCAGAGAGAAAAAAAGGAAAGGGAGAAGGGGGGAAGGAGACAAAGGAACGAAAGATGTGAGGGTGTTAAAGGAGGAAGAGGAGAGAAGTAGGAGGGGGCAGAATTTGGGCTTAAGGTGGGAGGGGAGGAGAAAATGTAAAGAAGATTGCAGAGTGAGAGGAGGTGTCGGAGCGGAAAATGAAAAGGTAGAGGGAGAGGGGAATGGACAGGAAGAGGGAAAGGAAAAGGGAGAGGAGAGGCGAATGGTAGAAGGTAGAGGATGAAAGAGAGTGAGGAGGACATTTTTTCCGAAGAATTTCTCGCTAGTAATGACAGTGATGGTGATGATGATGGTGATGTGATGATGATGATGTTAATAATAATCACAGAATAGTAATAATAAATAATAGTAAATAATGACATTGATGACGATGATGTAACAATAAGAATGACAATAATATTGATACTTAAAAGAATAATAACAAAACAATTTTTTTATAATCTTATCGCTAACTGGGTGATACGCTGGATACATCGCTACAGATGATAAGTAATTGTAATAAAACTCCATAACTTTTCCGTGATATCACTGATAAGATTACCTTCAATTATCTCCGGATTAAATGGGTAATAAATGTGCACGCAACAAATCATCATATAAAGTCTTATCCTGACACGTCTTCCCAGAAAGGCAACACCCCCTCTGCTACGTGGTATAGCATAGGGGTGAGGGTGTATTTCTGTGGAGTTAGCGTCTATGGAAGAAACCCTAATTGAAAATGGTTGACAATTCCTGGTCCAAGACAGTGGGCAAAAAATGGGTCCTAATTTTCTAATGACATAGCTGCATTTAGGGAAAAAAACTATCATGCGGTTTTCCATTTTGTTTTTACTTGACACAGGCTTGAGGCCCCAATAATCTGGTGAGCTGGACCAGAGAGCTACCCATATTGGAAAGGTCACCAATGAGGATAAGACAAAATAGCTTTCACAAACAGGAGTCCCGTAATTAGAGTGATGCTGTATGCTGTACCATGCAGACAGCAACACACCTCTTTGGTCCTCTATTCTGTTTAGACAGGTGGCTTAATCAAAGGCCTGGTCAAGTCAATCAGCTGGTCAAATATGGGTAGGGTCAAGCTGGTATTGCTCAGTCGGATTTGCATAGGTCATGCAACAGACATCAACACTGGGTGGTAACTGCGTATATTTCCTTACTACTCCTGTGGCTGTTGGGTGTGATTGAGCCACGACCTACAACTTCCCCTTGATGAATTCCATGGTTGGGGCAGGGGTGAGGAAATGAATTCAAATTTGCATTTTTACAAATTTACAAAGAACTGGCTCTCTCCCTGACGACATACACAATACCATGGCCAATCTCTATCAAACATCACCCACTATCACCTCTTATCTCATAAGAAATACCTGGAGGTAAAGACCACTGATGGTGTGTCCATCATGCATCGTAAGATAGTTGAGGTGTGTTTGCATGATCTTCAGATCACCCCACATCAAGATGGTAGCCTGATAGTTGAGGTTTCATCACCAAATGAGATTGACTGTCTGCATGAGACATATGGCATTCCAGAGGCTCAAGTCTCATGTTCTCCTTACAAAACAATCAGTGCAAGGGAATTACCAAGACCTGATGAGGTATTCTGAGGAACAAAAGAAGTTCATGGTAGAGGCATTTTAAGAATAAAGTTGATGATGTGGAACAATCGACACCAACTCTTCCACTGCCAGGGTTATGGCCATGAAGTTAACTCTTGCCATCTTAAGAAAAGGGACTAACAAGAGTGTGTTAAGTGTGTTACAACAGGTCATCAAGGAGATGACAACTGTCAAGGTCCAGTCTACTGTTATCACTGCAAAAAAGACCATGAAGCTTCTTCGAAGCAGTGTATAAGGAAAAAACTTGAAAAAGAAGTATTGGTAATAAAGAGCAAGGAGAAAGTTTTCCAGAGGCAAAATGTGTCCATGTGCTGTTTGCGCTGCCAGGCAAATCCAATCGTCCCTTAACCTCCAATAATTCTTGCACAACTCACTCTACCACTACAGTTTGACCTCAGTCCTCAAAGGTAGCTTCAGATCCAGAAAAGGCCTCTGGTGACTTGGTCCACCAGAAGCAGAGTAGGGGTGAGGGGTCTATTGAGGAAACTCCTCTCAGAGAAAAGTCATTGGAGCTATCAGACAAGGCTCCAGAAGCCTCAATGCTGACAGCTCCAGTTGCCACCATATCTATGGGGGTTGCTAGACAGAATGCCCTTGAAGCAAAGGCTCAGGTGTGCCCTTTGCTCAGGCAAAGGAATCCTGAGTGTGTCCCGAAGACTACTCCCAAAGTAAGGTCTTTGGAGCTGTCAGGCAAGGCTCCAGAGGCCTCCAAGGTGATAGCATCAGCTGCCACCCCATCCACAGGAGCCTCTGCTGCCAGACATAATGCTCCTGAACCAAAGGTTCAGATCTGTTCTTTTCCCAGGTAAAGGTTTCCTGTCCGAAGAAAGCCTGTGGAAACAGAGAACTCCCAAAAAATCTTGTTGGATCTTTGGATTGGGGACAATGCCATCCACATGAAAGCAGCCATAATCATTGCTATCCCCAAACTTGGCAAGGGAATTACAGACCAGTTTCTCTCACCAGCTGCAAATGTAAGCTGATGGAGAGAATGGTAAACTTGGCTGCTATAAAAGGAAAGCTTGCTGACTCCATACCAATATGGGTTTAGAAAATTGAGATCGACCACGGATGCCCTTGTGAGGATGGTGATTACTCTACAGAATTCCTTCGCATTGACCTTGAAATGGCTTATGATACTACTTGGAAACATGGCGTACCCATGAAGCTGTATGACATTAGTTTGAGGAGCATTACTTACCCTCATACAAAGCTTCCTTACTGATAGGAAGTTTAGAGTATGGGTGGGAAGCAGCTTCTCCTACCTGGAAGATCAGTTGAAAGGTGTCCCACAAGGTAGTGTTTTAAGTATGATCCTGTTTGCCATTGTTGTTAATGACATCATAAAGTTCGTACCAAGTGCTGTCTTGTGTAGTCTGTATGTGGATTACTTCACATCGTTCCGTATTACAGGACGTGCAAGGACGCCTGCAGACTGCAGTAAATCAAGTTGTGCAGTGGGCAACATACCATAGATTTAAGTTCTCTCCAAGTAAGACCCTGGCTATGCATTTCTACAAAAGAGGAATTGATTTTTTTCCCTTTATTTAGGAGTGAACCCATTGCATTTTGTCCAAGCGGTAAAGTGATTTTGGTTCTGATTTCCTTTAACTACAAGAAATTAAAGATGACCTTGGCAGTTGGGTGACTAGCATCCATCCCAGCCGACAAGTAGAAGTTAACATGGGTCGATGATGGCTAAAAGTGAAGCGCGTTGTGAGGGATCCCAAGAATCGTTAACGGTCGCACATGTAGTGGAAAAATGTACAGCATTCTCAGACCAAAGGCGTATGTTTTGGGGGAGGATTGCGACATAGGTCTTATTAGTTTCGTAAAGGACACTCATATTTTGAAGAAAATAGAATTATACACAATATATTTACAATAATTGTATACTTTTAATAGCATAATATTTATGTTTTGATTGTTAATATAATTCTTAATCCCATAAGGTATTCGCCGTTAATGACTTTAGCTGTTCCCGCGGCAGAAAACTTTAAATAATCAATCAATCTTCTATCTCTTCACCAGATATAGGACTGCCTTGCCTTTTTTATCGATGATGGGATGGCGTACATGCATAAGGTAGTCCCCGATGAGAAGCTTTTGTCTGTCGGTGCGTGATGGCAATGGGAACATCACCAGTTCCTTTCCACTATCAGGAAGTACCAGTCGTAGTATCAGTCCATCTCTCTGAACATGTATTGCAGATAGATCTACAGTTGTCTCTTATGATGTTCAATGTATTTTGCATGAAAAAATAAAGTTCCAACAAGTTCAAAGACCTAAAATATCCGATTATATCTAGACACTTTGCCTAATTGGAAATGGTGTTTTCAAGTTGTATTGCTGAGTAAGAACCGGTAATGGAGTCAATAATCTACCAAGACTCTACCCGTCGGAATCTTCATCGAAGGGATTCTTTATCCAGGGAATATGTGTCTCTAAGCAAGGAATTTTTTTTTTTTTTTTTTTTTTTTAACTTAAATAAGGATAATGTATGGCCATCTCAAAATCTACAATAACTCAGGATATGGTCACATATTCCAGAGACATTAGCCTAGCAAGGCAGTGAACAACAATTCTTCTGTGGATTATCCGGCAAGACACAGGGATGGACTTAACCACAGATAAGCGCGAAAAATACTATCGACGGAGTCCGAAGCAGCTACTGGATTCCCCCAGGAAATTCAAACCTATCTCACTAGTGAAGACTGAGAGCCGCTATATTTGCAATCCGTTGCCGTAAACAACGGGGTCGGGTCAGGGGTTTCTCCAGTAGATGCCGGCTTTACAGGAAGATGTTCAAGGAAGGCCTCTCCCCTAGGTACATAACAGTGTAAAGTTACGTGTTCTTTGTCCAGGAGAGTCTATCCTGGGGAACCTTTTTCTGGGAATCCCTTCAAAGCGGGTGAATTGTTAAGTTTCCCGGAATACATCATATGTGTCATTTAAGATAATCATTTTGGACTAATTATGGAGATGAAGATAAAGGCCTATAAATTCCTGAGTCTTATATTAATATGAGAGAAACATCACAACTGCATGGTTTAAGCATATCCCGTATCACTAGCAACATTCAAAAACATCAATAACAATTCATATAATCAAACACTCCGGGTACTCACCTATTACTTCATCTTTACCGAATCATAGCCGAATATATCTTTTAATAGTATACATAGAGTGTATGAGTATATATGCCCACAAAAGTTTCACATTCATTTTCAATATGCACATATATATTCAGCATTATAAATCATACAAGAATTATACGACATTTCTAGAAAAGGTATGAATGAGAATGAATATCTTCACAATACAAGAGATGTATTTGACCGGTTTCGATTATAACTTCGTCAGAAATACATTATATCTTCTTCAGAAATACATGTATTTCTCACGAAGATATAATCGTAACCGATCATATACATATCTTGTGTTGTAAAGATATAAATTCTCATTTTTACCTTTTCTAAATTTGTCAATAGGAATACGTTTCATGACATCATATAATGATTATTTGGTCACTATAGTGAGATTAGTTTCAATGTTAGTATAGTGAAGAGCGTTAAAGAAAACATTTCTTTTTTGTTATATATTTTGCACCATTGCAGGAACTCACCTCTGAATACACAAGAAACTGGAGAATCAGCCAGCACATGGATAATCCGGGAGTCAATTTACCCATGCTAAGAGCTCTAACGGAGAACTACATCACTGAAAGACAGCGTGTTAAGCACTGTCCCTGGTAGGATACTGTCTGCGTTGCTTCTGATAACAAGGATTAACGGCTTTTCAGGTATATAATATTTTGTTTTATTGACTGTTGATTGTGAAATACGTTTGACTCACTCTTATATTCATCTACCGACAAATTGGAATCAAGCAAGATACAAGCACAAATACATGCGCGCGTGCATGT